GAAGAAGAACTATCCGCATCCAGCCTTGGCCCGCAAGTGCCACGCGATTAGTACCATCTCGGAACATTTGGCACGAGAACGAGCCCAATATGTAATCAATGACTTGTTGGAAGAAGAAGAAGAAGAAAAAGAAGAAGAACCGTCATTGCCACCACAAAATACGAAGGGCCCTGCTCCTGGAACTCCGGGTCGATGGTTGGATTTCCATTCCCTGGTGGAACGAATCCCACGATTGCGGCAAACATAGTGGAAGCAGCAAGCGATGCAACTGAGATGTTGCCTACTACAGTATGGGCTGCTACTATACTACTAATACTGTATCATGATGCTAGGTACAGTACACAGCCGCTATAATACTAGCTAGTACGTACAGTACGTACTCTATTAAAAAAGGAAGCGAGGAGAAGCGAGGATGGCCATAGAATAGAACTATCCATTTTTATAATAAATATATAAAAGCTAGACCAACTTCTTTACGTTATTATCAACAAAGCTACAGAAGGAAGGAAGAAAGCAAAGTAGTCACCAGCTAGTAATAACTAAGAAGACTTGCCTCAAGAGTCAGCAGCCAGTCCTCAAGAGTAGAGCACATATTATGCATGATGACTGACTTGGCAAAAGGCAAGATGCCAAACGGACCAATTTACCATTACGACCTTCTTGCATACATCACTATTGCCTCATGATGATGCTACTGTACCTGCTGGATAGTAGTAGTACTACGCTGGTTCCTAGTAGTAGTCGTAGTAACAGTGGGTACTAACTATAGTACCCACTGGCGACGATGCTGGTGGCAATTTTTATTTTTTTAATGGCAACTGCCTTTCGATCAACGTCATCAAACTCTTTGTTTCTTTCTACATGTATACTACAAATGAATCAGCCTCCTTATCCGCTTCCTGAACAAACGTCATCGTGGTCCACTTTCGGAACCAACGTCACAGTAATGCAATCTCTCCAACCAAACAACTATTATATATTATTATACACTGTACTGTACAGTACAGTATGTCAACGAGAACCGGTGGAATAAAAAAAGTAAAAAACATCATCCATTCAACGAGAACTGGTGGAATAAATTCATATCATTTTTCTCATTCCTTTTTTTTATTCTTCGTTCAACGAGAACTGGTGGAACCATTATTTTTTATATTCTTCATTCGATCGTACACGTAGCGTATGTATCATCAAGAGTGATCGCATCGCCTGCTTCTCGTTCGTATCATACGTACACTGTACGACGATCGGACGCAGTTGATGAACCTTCCACTCGTGTTTCAACGCGTCTGCTACTAGTGAGGCCCTTTTTTCTCCGTGTCGCCAATCACGTTTTCGTTCGTGTTTGTCGTAGAAATCTACGTAGATTTTCAAAGAGGGTGCACGGCAATCGAACAAGGGTTCCGTGTCACTATAGAATCCAAGACTGAATCAACGTCGTGTTTTTCGTTTTTTCGGAAGTTGTTTTTCACGTCACAAAATATACAAATACAAAAACGGGGAAGGGCGAGAACCACCGAGACGAGCATTTGAAGTATCGTGATTATATTGTTCCGCATACTGTAATCCTTTGACACCCACCCACCCATACAACAAAAGTCACACTGCAAGCACAACCAATACACACACACACGCTCATACACACACACACACATAGCTAGCTACTAAATCACAATGGTAGCTCTTACAAAGAATCAAGCACGAGCGTTGTCGCCATCATTTTCCGTCAAGGAACTTGATCAGAATGTCCTCCACGCCGGGGCCGAACAACAACAACAACAACAACAACAACAACAACAAAATAAGGAGAATCTCAGTATCAGTATGACACCACCATTGTGGTTGGAAATGGAACCAGAATCATCCACAGCAGCAATCACTGATAATCGTGACATGCCTGTTTCTTCTTCTTCTTCTTCTTCTTCTTCTAGTAGTCAGGTCACTACTACCAGCAGTGCCACTGTCACTACAGAAGCAAGGCTGTCCAACAAGAACAGCAAGAACAAGAACAACAAACAGACCAGGTTGGTTACATTTTGCGAGGATGTTCAGGTTCGTCCCATTCCAGCATTGACCCAACAAGAGAAACATGACATGTTTTATGACAAGCAAGACAAAAAGAGCGCGAAATTGGATGTCAAACGATTGGTAACCTACCATCGTTCTTCCGCTCACAACCATTATTTTTTCTCCACGGATCGTGAATATGCCACACGAACCCCCCAAGATTCCGAAATGATGATTCCTGTTGCAGTGGACGAACGTACCAAAATTGGATTGGAGGCCCACATTCATCCGCAATTCAAAATTAGCATTCGCAAACGCATGACCAAGTTGGTATTGCAACATCAACATTGGCACCAACAGCATCCCAACTTTTTTGACATTTCCTTTTTGAGTGAAAACTGTACGACTGTTGCCAAAACGGCAACCTTGATGGCACAGGAACGAGCCCAAAACATTGTCCGGGAGTTGAAACGAGAAACGGCACAAGAAGCACCCAGCATTCACAATATTACAGTGAACAACAACAAGAGCAACAACAACAACAACAGCAACAACAAGAGGGATTTGAATGAATTGAAGAAGGTAGAACAAGACCAAGACTATTCCTTTTCGGTTCGCATTCTTTGCTCCTCCTCTGAGCGCATGCTATCCAACAATGCTAACAATGCCAATGCTAATGTCACGACCGCACCTGCTATCGAAGCGGTGGTTGCAACCACCAGTACGGCCGTCGTCACCAAGGAATCATCATCATCATCATCATCCTCTCATGCTAGTATGGAGGCTCCTGGTCATTCTTGCATGGTGCGATAATCGAATGGAACGAAAACGAACGCAAAATGTACATGTACAATAAGTACAACAATAGATGCTGCTGCTACAATAATGACGAGGGAGAATACCCTCGTCTATAGACACAAGGGAAAAAGGATACAAAAAGACAGATATACCAACATATAGAGAAAGAGTATATAGAAATAAAATGTTGTAAATTATTATGTCAAAAAACAAAAAAACTGTTCTCCTATTACTATTCCTAGGACTCCTCCTACACATTATTATTGTTATTGTTATTAATATATTAGTATTATTGAAACATGCTCTCAAAGTTACCAGTCTGCCGGTGTTGTTGTTTCAATTTGCTCCTTCTTGGTGCCTCCTCATTGGAATATCCCTTGGGCATAGGTCCCAATTTGTTGTACTTTGCCGCCAATTCGCAAAGTTGTTGTTGAAAGGACACATTGGTCAAGACCATGCCACGTTTTTGTTTCAAATCCTTGACTATATCCAACAAGAATCGTTCTGGTTGTTGTTGCTGTTGTTGTTGTTCTTGCTGCTCTTTGTTGTTGTCGTCGTTATGATCGTCCAAAAGAAGCATTGCCGCCGCCGCAATCAGACCTTACATGAATCAAAATAGTGAGCGCATACATGCGTGTACTGTTCTCATAATCATAACCATCGATCAATCAATCAAAGCATTATCCATAATATAGGTACATCACAATTCATGTATGTATACAAACAACACAAGAAAACAATCACGTACCACTTCGATTGGTTCCCGCCCCACAATGAACCACAACCTTGCCACCACTATTCTTGGCCTCCAACAAGAATGGTTTGGCTTCGTCTTCCCAATGTCGGCCAATCAAATCATAATCGTTGGTATCCTTGGCCGCAATGGCCTTATGATTGTGCTGGACAATCCCAACATCATTCGATTGATTGGTGGCCAACAGCAACAATGATGATGATGATGATGATGATCGTTCTTGGATTTGTGAACAGGAGGCTGCTGGAGTAGTATTCGGTGATGGTGATGATGATGATGATGGTCCTTTGTTGAGGGACAAAATGTGCGTCACGCCCAAACTAGCAATACTACTACTACTACTACTACTACTACTACTATTGGCCGTACTACTAGTAAAAAGAGCATGATATTCATCCGACAGGTATAGCCATGGGAGTATTTGGATGGGCATTTCCGTTGATTCTTGAAACGGTGGATTGGACAAAATGTTATTGACTGCCTTGATCCAAGCCCAAGGTGGAGTAGTAGTAGCAGTGGTAGTAGCAGTGGTAGTGGTAGTGGTTGTTGCAGTTGTTGGAGTTGTGGGATTGCCGGACAAGAATTCATCCTGTTGTTGTTGTGATGATGATGATGATGATGATGATGATGATGATGATGACTTGGTCATACTGCTGCGATTGATGATGCTGCTCATGCTGCTGCTCATTAATTTTGCGCCACTTTGTTGCCTTTTATTACAGAGGTACAGTAGTGTATGTATTATGGAATGATTCTCAATGGCTGTGTGTGTGCTTTCAAACACAAAATGACAGCCATGTATGTTCCTCACCTTTATTTTCATTTTATTAGTAGCCCATGTTTCGCATATCGGACAAAGAATAATGTCCGTAAACGGGAACGACTTAGTCTCATGTCAAACCGAACTCCATCACAATAATACATCATAAAATGCATCATGTCATATAATATCTAAAAAGAATACACACAACAACAACAGCAACAAAGACACATTGACACAAGTTCCTATCATTCCACAATCGTTCGATAAAGGAAAGAATGTCAAGAAGCCATCGAAATGCCACATTCCATGTTCCAACAGTACTATTGCTGTTGTTGTTCTTGTTGTTGTTTCTGATGATGACGATGACATCTTTTCCAAATCAAAATGATCCAGCATACGGCCCTTCCACATTCATATATTATGCTACGGCATTCAAGGCTCATTTACCGCGTCATCGATTGATGCGTCCTACTACGAACTCTTACTACCATGACAATGATGTCAACAACAAGAATAAGATGGGACTTCTCTTAGTACCAGCAGCGACATACATGTATAGTCTAATCGATCCAAAACAATTGATGCATTCATCATCAACAATGACCAATAGTAATCTTCACAGCAATCATCGCCACATTCACCGAAGGTCGTCCATCACAGCACTACAGCAACAACAACAACAACAAGGCTCAGCTATGAACCAAAATAATGACTTTGGTGATCATCATGATGGTAAGAATGACAATAATAAGAATAAGGCATCATCATCATCATCATCATCAGCATCATCATCATCATCATCCCATCCATCAATCAGAAGGACCAAATCGATGACCAAACAATACGTGGTCTTGGGCGCACACTTATTTGCGGTATCCATCTTTATCCTCATCAATCGATTTGTCGGTCCATGGCCCATTGCCTTTTTACAAGCCTTGAAGGAACCCTACTGGCTATTGATCCATTATCTCAGTGCGACCATGTTTGCTGGAACGATTGTCGTGTCGGCCATTTTGGAGAATATGATTGTAAATAAGACTACTTTCAACAAGAATGATACTGATAATGATAGTACTGATACTGATAATGATATGAATGACACGGCAGCAACAACAATCCAAGACCAAAATAAGCTGATTCACTTTTGGTTTCAACAAGTTCCCCAAATGGATGCCCGATTGGTACTGCCCAGCGTTGTGACATTGTTGGTATCGGGAACGGCCACGGCACATTCTCGATATGGTGGCGGGTCCTTAGCATTGGCACCCAAACACATTACCCTCATGTTTGCCCATTTACTTGCCTTTATGGCATGGTGGATCGTGACGGACATTACAACCCGATCCAAAGTTTTGGAGTATTATCATGATGCTGGCAGCAGTAGCAGCAAAAACAACAACAACAAAAGGAACAACAACAAAACCAATAGGTTGCAGCAAGTATTGAAATGGCGCAAGGTTAGCAACATTGGATCCTGCCTCTTTGTATTGGTATTATTTGCTATTATGACACTCAAGCCAGGCATGCCTATGATATGAGCGATGCTGTAATATTATCAGCTGCTGCACCTATTCATCTTCATATAATCCACGCTCGACGAAAGTAGGGAGTATTTGTTATGTTTGCATAGCAATAGCTACAGTAGGTGTGTGTATATGCGTGTCTAGTAGTGTAGCTAAAAGTGATACTAGTGATACAGCTTTCTTGTTGTGTAAATGTCTCTTTAGACACAAAAAGTAGTCGTCGTAAGTAATAGTATACCATTCAACGTGAAGCAGAAGATGATGATAATTCATGACCATCCCGTTGGATCGTGTTTTGTTTTGTTTGTTTGTTTGCTTGCTTATTTCCCAATCAAATGTGTAAAAAATGCCCCGTTCAATCATACATATGTATATGTACATACATATATCATGTATAGCTTTCTTCTTATTGCGTTTGCCGCAATCGATCTTGAAGTTTCTTACTTTCTTGTGCTAGTTGCAAATGATGATTGGAATTAAAGGTCCGCAAAATTTCGGCCAAATCTTCCGTCTTTTGCTGGGACAGGGCATCCAAACTCGATTGCAAACACTTGGTGGCTGCACATGCCTCGTGAGGGCTTGTGGACGAATTGGAAAATAGGTCCACCAACGCCTTCATAAAGTATTGGCACTGCAATTGATCACAGGGCTCATTCGACTTGTAGCGCATGACATTGGCAAGAATGCCCAGGGCACGGCGCTTCATGACACAAGTAGGAGCATCATTGGCCAAAAAGGATTGAATGGAAGCAATGCTTTCATTGGTATGCAGCAAGGAGGCTGCATATTCATCCAATGAAAGACGTTCCAAGGATTCCAAACCAAGTAATTGAGCATCAGTTCGTTCCGATTTGACAAGTTCCAAGGCTTGTTGGGTATCAAATTGAATGCACTTTTGGCGCTCTTGCTTGGCGTCTTGGGGGATGCACATGGGGACCTTGAGACTAGCAGGCATACTGGTTTTGGTGGCAATGCCCTTGGCCGCCTTGAAAACGGCAGTGCAGCACAAGTGAAACCCATAGGAACAGCCAATGCGCCGTTCTACTTCCACCAGTACACCATTGTCGTCGCTGTTGGAAGCAAACAAGTTAATGGCAAATTTGAGACCGCACGTGGCTTCGGCGAACAACGAATTCTATAAAAGGAGGAGGAGTAGTTGTGATGGAGAGAAGCGGAGAATGTGAGTGAGTGGCGAAGCTCCTGGAGGAAACGCGAGCTGGGAATGAACGTACCTCATGGGAGTCGTGGGGGACCGCAGCGATGGAATGTTGGGCTAGAGCCTTGGCAATGCGATTGGCAACGGTTTGGGGGGAAACACCGTGCACCACAGCGTGAGAATGTCCAAGAGAATAGTCCTCAGGAATCGCAGGAAGTTCCTCAGGGACATTCCACTCTTGTGTATGAAGGGGTTGGTTTGCAGAAATGGGCTCTTGTGCGAGCGTTTTGCTTTCTCTGGGCATGCTGCTAGAAAAAGCGATGGCGGGTTCATTGCCAGAAGCAACAGCGCCCATACGAATACTTCTCAATTCGGGACCATTCTGATACGAATCATCATGGTTCATCATTCTTGCTTTGCTTTATTGATGAGGTTTTTCTTCTGATATGCCGCTAATGCTTTACTTGGGCTTACTGTTCAATTTTGTTTAGGTGCCTACTGTATTGGTATTGGTTGGTTAAAATGTGTGTGGGTGGGTGTGTGCGTGGTCTCTTGCTTGCAGTAGGTATTGTTTTGTTGCTGCCTGGATATCAATTCGAACGTTGAAAAGGTGCAGTTCGTTCCGATCCAAAAACCACATACAGGGTTTTTGTTGTCTCAATGGGTAATTGTACGGGATTGCTGGTACAAAATCTCTAGTTGGAAAGGCCGCGAATGCTCTGGAAGTATTTCGATTTCGTTCTTGCGACCATCACATGTCAAATCCAAAACACAATTAGCTCCACCACTTTCGAAGATGCTCTTTTTGCCCAACTCCAAATAATCCAAAAAGTTAGGAAATATCGTAGAGTTCGGAAATAATAAGAATCCTTTGAAAACGGTTGACATTTTGGGTGGGAACGCACTGTTCTTTGACCTTCGAAGAATCTCATCACGGACAGTGATTTGGAACAAGGTGTTTCTTGTATGTCATTTTTGTCATTTTTGAGCCCGCACTCCTTTGACCAGATCGCGTATGTTTCCCAGTCGCCAGTGGCGTTCATGGTCACGACTAGAAAAAGGAGAAAATGGACGGGACACGCAAACGGTAGGCTCCAACATTTTGCATTTATCAATGACACCGTGCAGCCGAATGAACGAGACTCCAGACTGTTCTAGAACATCGTGTTTCGACATTGCCATGAGCCACCAAGTAATAAACAGGCGTTGGAATCTCTGTTCCGGTACAATATATACGAGTATATTGAAGTCAAAACCACTAAGTAAAATAGGTACGTAGAAGAACAACCCTGCAACATCGGTATCGGTCCAGTAGCTTCACCTTGAAGTGAAGCAGTACACGTGCACATACCGGTAGAGGAAGAATCCCAATCGAATAGGTTTGTTCTGATCAAACATGATGACACCGTACTGTAGCTGGTATTATGGAGATGAAAAGCTCCAGTGGTTTAGGCAAGGATAAAGGGGCCAGTAGCACCATTGTGTCACCAGGAATTGTGTTGTAACGAATACTGCAGTTTAGGATGGACGATATCTAACCCAACACGCTAGTAGCAAACATTGAGAAACGGTTCGGCAACCACTTGAGGAAACTAGATACCTTCTTTCTTCCTATCAAAAACAAGCACATTCGTTCGTGGTATTCAGACATCCAACACTATTTTCAAGCAAATGGAAAGTGTCGACCCCAACCCTGATTATTTCAGAAGAAGGCGATTATTCCTTCATCATACTGTACCATAGTAGCTAGTAGCTAGTTGCGTTCCAGCATGGATACCAGCCAGAAAACTGGTGCCTTCCTATCCACTAGCAAAATCGTTCGCGTTACATCATTCGTGCTACCGGTACATCCATCATGGGCAACAATCACTACCTGCTACCCCCGGTATACTCCCTTTTGCGAAAGTGGTGTTTCTACCGGTAGGGAATCTTTGTCCAGCTCCTTAAATGCCCCATGCATCCATTTCTCCGCTTGTCCTAGTGTCAAACTGTTCGACTACATCCGGGGTACAGTGTACCAATCCGTGCCAAAAAGGCCGATTGGGTTTTATTCCATCGCCGGAGGTGTGTTTTATATTATAAAATATACATCTGATATTCAAAAGCATAGCATCAGAAAGCCGAATATCATACTAGGACCGAAGTAGCTTGTTAGTATTACTGTACCGCAGTAGTGTTGTCCAAGAATACACCCCCTCCTGTAGCTATCTGGTGGTGCTGTAACGGTACTCAGGATCATGGCATTGGTTCTTGCCAAGAAGTTGGAAAGGATTTTCAAATTTGAACGATTGCAGTAGCTGTTAATCTGCAAAGTGGCCCGTCTTCTTTTCCCCGGGCAGCTTTGCTTACTACTTTGCGTGTGTGCACGTGAAAACTGAGATGTACGGTGGGGTTTGGTGTTCGGGTGTCAACAATTAAGCTATTTATTTAGTATACATTTTCGTGTAGCTCCATGTCGCACCGTGTCGCAGTTTGACCACCAAGCAAAAATGGTTCCTTTTTGCTCCGACTCATTCGACCGTTTGAATGGCAGCTGATTGATTCATTCCCGACTTGAGACTGACACTCTGTCGACCAACTCTGATGCTCGACTCAGTCGACTAAATATTTCTTCTTAGTTTTTTAGCTTACGGCACGTCATGTCTGCCTTCCCCACCATTTGCAGACCTTACCCTTTACATTTATAGTGTCACCGCGAAGGAGGCCATTTCTCATACGAGTACCTGGTACCAGCCTGGTACCAGTACGGTACCGGTATATTTTCAAGTGATGAGAGGTGCAATTTCAAATTTGAAATTGCATTCTTGATCGGAGCTGCGAACGTGAAACCGCGACGCGTTTCCTCTCTTCTGGCAGTCCACGAAATATGGTGAATGACGAAACAAAATCGACCCATCCGAATGAAAGCTACCCTCTCCGAACTCTTGGAGAATAAGAGGACAATAGGTACCAGGTACAGGTACCAATACTGTTGTCATGATCGAGAATCAATTTATGAAGAGTAGTGTTGTACAAAATCGCATATTTTATTGTCTTAAAATAAAGACTTCACCATGCAAGTGCAAGTCAATCAAAATCTCCAGTTCCTGTTGGGCTGCTAGTAGTTGTTTGGCAACTAAGCGATTGGTGCAGCGGGTGGATTTGTTTTTTGCAGGCAGTACAAATTGTATCCAGCAATGACCAATCGATCAGATGTTGTATCATCACTAGTTTCTCGAGGAGCTTCGTTTAGTCGTGAAGCTTCCACGTAGCACTCCATCATTTCTGGAACTTGATTCAACTGCAGGTACACGTTGCCGAGGAGATTCAATGCCTTGGACAAGGAACTTCTTGTATTTGGCGCCACCTCTCTTTTTCGTTCAATAGCAACAACTTGTTGGAAATACTTGGCAGCTTCCTCAAGCTTGCCAAGCTGTTGGTGAACCTGTCCCAAATGCCTCAGCGTAAGGCCAACATCGGGGTGGTCCGCTCCAAGGTGCATCTCCTCCACTCGCAAGGTTTCCTTATACATCTTGACGGCTGTCTCTTCTTCCCCTCGCTCGAAATATACAGTGGCAAGATTATACCACAGAATCGCCACATCTCGATGATTGGGGCCAAGAAGTTTGGTTCGTATCCTCAGACTTTCCGAAAAACACATGTTGGCCAGTTCGTAGGCTTGCTTCTTGAAGAATACCAGTCCAATGGAATTCAACGTGGAGGCAATTCTTGGGTTATCGTTGTTGGACGAGTGCTCTCGGTAGATTCGAAGAGCAAATTGATATGCTTCGAGGGACGACGCGTAGTCACCCAAGTGATATTGCATCAAGGCGATGAAGGAGAGTGTCTCCGCCAAAACCAAGGCATTGCTTCCAAAGGCTCCCACTTGCATCTTCAATACTCGTTCGTAAGCTTCCAGAGCTTTCTCACATTGATCCAACTGCTTGTGAATGTGAGCAATATTTGTCTGTGTAATAATTGTGTAGGGGTGGTCTGGTGGAAGGATGGAACATTCGATCTCGAGCCCTTCTGTGTAAGATGCCATGGCGGTGTCGTATTCCTTCATTTCGTAGCAAAGATTGCCAATCTTGTTCAAAAGTGTGGCAACATCCGTGCTAAGTCTCCCACTTGCCGCCGTCTGAGCTTGCAAAGCTTGATGAAAGAATTCTAAAGCCGTATCGAACTTCCCTTGTACTTGATGAATCTCGGCAATTCCTTTCAGCGCCAGAGCGGCATCCTTCGAGTTCTCACCGAAGACGGACTTGGCAACGCTGAGAAATGACTTGTAATGATTGATCGATTCTTCGAACTTTTTGAGTTGCTGACAGGCTTGACCTGCATTGTACAAGGTAGCAGCCACATCAATGGATTCTTCACCAAGGAGGTGCCTCCGAATCTTGAGCGATTCTTGGTAGCTCTGAAGGGCCTGGACGTAGTCAGCTCGGAGGTAATGCAGTCTTCCAATATTATTGTGAACTGTTGCGACTGCCAAGGGATCAAAGCTTTTGCACGATCGGTACATCTGTAGACATTCTTCAAAGGATTGGAGTGACTTGTCGACGTTGCATGTACCATCCATGCTGAATTGAAGGACCCCGATGCAGTTCAGGCTGGCTGCAAGGTATTGCCTACCAAGTTTGAAGTATTTGCTTGTATTAAATGCTTTCTGATAATACTCCATTCCCATGTCGGCCTCACCAGTGACATATCTGCAAAATCCGAGGCAGTGGAGAATCTTGACAACCAATGTCTGGGAAAAATGATCGTTTGCCTTGGTCCAATAGAGTGCTTGATGCAACCAGTGCTCAGCATGATTCCTCTTTCCGCATTTGATCTTGACTTGTGCCATATTGTAGGCGACAACCGCTGCGGTGATGTGCTGAAAGCCGTCTTGTTCTTTGCCATCACCACAGTCACGTAGCAGGTTCAATGGAGTATTGTATACGTTCATGCCTTCATCATACCGACTGGGGTTCACGACTAACCCATCGTCTCGGGAATCCATCATGGTTACATCGCCGTTTTGGGGCGAAGAACGCAGACCTTTCGAAGCAAGACTAGAACCAATCCCAAGTTCGGAGACAGCTTGACAGAAACACATTTCTGATGTCTCAAAGTGACCTGAGTGAAATTCGGAAGCCCCCATTTCGTTGAATGTAGATATTCTATCGACCATTGATCTCTGAGTATTTGGTGATGCTTTGCTGAGAGCATCGTATATTTGGATGTGCTCAACCATTTGGTGGTTGGTGCACTCAATCGAGAAATTGGCGTTCATTGTTTCTTTTTCTTGGTTTTGATTTTTGTGTTCCCATTTCTTCTCAGGGAATAACACCAAGTCATTCCTGTTTTTGAGCCTTGTCAGATTTGTTCCGCGTCAGCGATTTGCCGTCGCAAGTGCTGTTCTTTTGAATATATACTGACCAAAGAACACTTGGACTAGTCCTTTGGGCGTATTTATATCGAGATCCAGAAGCCATGCAGAACTGCGGTGAACAATGGCATAAAGCTCCCGGTCAAAACCGCCACGTCAATCGACTAAAGTGAATTGAAATAATTTCAAAATACAACCAACAGTGAACAGTGGCATAAAGCTCCCCCACAAAGCCGCAACATGAATGACCCATAGTGTAGAGAAACAGAAGGCCCGATGAACACTGGCATAAAGCTCCTCCGGGAAATAAAATGGTATTGATGTTTAGCAGAAGGATAATCTTTTGGTCGCTGGCTGGACAGTACCGCAAAGTGCTACTAGAACTGAATACAGTAGGACATTGATTCTGGGATAATTTTTTTTAAAACTTCAAGAGAAAGCTGTGAGAACAATAGAAAACGTGCGATCAGGTACAGCAGTTGTAACTTGATCAGATGAGTGCACAAATTGAACTATTTTGAGCAGTCCAGTGTTCATTTATTGGACGACTACCAGCCCAAATAAAGAAACGGGAAGAAGTCATTTGTCATTCAACAAGAAACGAGAAGCCGCAATCTGGTGAAGGTGATAAATTGTTTCGAAAAAAGAAGCAAACTGATTCTCACTTTGGAACTCTCTAACAATAGAGAGGAGCGTCATTACTACGATTAACTGACGGAACCGTCTACCCATTCATCATCCTCGCTATCGTCACTACTGTCATTCTCTAATTCCGCAACTGGCGTCACTGTAGTCGTCGTGATTACTTTCGTGGTTGTAGTCGTCACAGTTGTCGGCGTCGTGCTCACAGTTGTCGTGGTCGTGGTGATGGTGGTAGCATCCCCTTGCTCCATTTTCTCTTTCTTCGACTGGACCGTTGTGGTGGAGTTTGCGCCTCCGTGTAGGGTTTCCATGGATAGCACAGCTTCATCGTCGTCGTCGTCGTCATCGTCGCTGGTATAGGTCATGTTGTGACTCTCCAACCATGTTTCATACGCCTTGGTATCGCATTCACGGTCAAATCTCCGCAGCCGGAACCAAGCATTGGCACCATATTTGACCCCTTTAATGACTGGCAAAGCTTCATGCCAAGTACCAGATTCCTTCTGCATCATATCATTATCGTTTACGTTTGGCCAAACCAAGGCCATGCCTCGTTTGGGTTTGATATCCATTTCAATCAAGGCACAGGCTGCTTTGGCTGCCGTGGTGTTGGCTTCCTTGACACATTCGTCTAAGAGATCCCCTGGAGCATATGCGTCGTTTTTGTGAGTAATGTCTACCATTCGAGTAGCTCCGCCCTCTTCCACTTCGTTCAAGTAAAGGAAGAATGTGAGAACTCTTGGCCCTTGAGGCCAGGACGTTTCTAGTGGCAAGTCCACATCGTGATGCATTTTGTAGTATTGTCCTTCGGTATACTTTAAGAGCTGCAAGGGTTCCGAATATCCTGATGGCATTCCAGTAGTCTCACTGATTCGTTGGACAACACTTTGGGCAATTGGGTCCTTGTCACAATGTTTTGCCGAACACCAAGCGTTGACCGAGGTTCGATGTTTTTTTTTGTCCTCTCCCTCTTGCAATCCCGAACGTGAATATCCTTCGAGTGCTCCCAATTCGATGAAGCGATCACATTCTTCCGGTGTCAAGAAATCTTCCAGAGTTACCAGCCAGGCTCCATCCACTGGCTCATTCGAGGAAATAGTCCCGTTTTCCGCCAAATAGTCTGCCTTTGACTGTCCACCAGGTCGAGCATGAATGGATGGTTTGTATGGCAAGTCCGATTTGGAAATGTCCAATTCCCCCACCATCCTCCGAAACAAAGTATCTAATTCTCCTTCGTGATAGAAATTGTGATCAAAATTGGCCAGACAGGGTTGGAGTAATTCATAATCATCGCAGGCTCGACAAGCGGGTGCACATTTCTGTCGCATCATCAAAAAGTCTTCCCCTCCCATGAAATTATTTTCGCAATATCCAATGGCAGCATATATCTCACAATGGCCGAGATAATTTTGACAGGACCTTCGAACATCTTCGTATTCAGGATCGACCATTACAACATTAGCCATGTACTCTTGGGTTCCAATAATTTGTTTGGCGACCGCCTCCACCAATTCTTCATCCGTTTCCACAGGCATTTCCAGATTCAAGACGCTCAAATCGCCGGAAAAGCTTTCCCACTCTTCCTTGACCTCCTCAATATCTTCTCGTACACCACTGAGGAAATCCTTCGACATGGTTTGTTTTCGTCCAATGGAATAAGTTGTAGCCGAATCATCATCTGCTGGGGGATTTTTGCAGGTCAAACAAGACTTTGGACAGTCATCCGACTCGACATAAAGACATTCCCCCAGTTGGGCAAGCTTTTCACAGAGTTCGTGTTTGTCGACGCATTCTTCTTCTTCCTCATCGTCCTCATCATCACTACTATCCGTACTAGGGCATTGTCCTTTATCGCCGTCTGCCTGACAGTTTTGCGCTTCAAGGCTTGGGAAGTAAAATCCAAAAGATCCCTTTTTGGTTCGTTCCGAAAACGGAATGGAGGGTGGGTGCTCTTGATTCAAAAAATCCATTTGGTCCACCAATTCCCACAGTTTGGCCGTCAGGTCCCAGTCTGGAATCTCCTCATCCTTTTCTCGATACGCTAACGATGTTGGTGCGAATGGCAATTGGATAATCATCATCGTGAAGAGCCAAATGATGGTGGTGGTGGCGGAAAGTCTGCAGCATGCTCGCAACCTTAACATTTTCCTGAAAACTGATTCTGAGTATATTCTTAATGTTTTTTTCGTACTCTAGCGTTTTATGGCGATGAATGGATATTTGGTGGGTATTCTTGTTGCTGTTGTCTCGCCAATTCAGTTTTGATTTTATGTGCTTTGGACGTAACAGTCTCAAAGTGTCAGACTATCCTTGTTGCGTTGCCTGTGATGCGACGCAGTAGGAGCTCTAGTGTTAGCATTGTTTCCATCGTCTTCACCCACCAAATGCGAACATTCATCGTGCGGCTTGCGCGCCCGTTGAAATAAAGGATAGCCTCGTCAGACGAAGGAGTGACTTTGTCCAAGAACTAGAGTATAGTGCATATTATATGTGCATCATCATCGTCGTCACATCTTTTGCATTATTTTATTCATGTCATCATCTGACATCCCATATAACGCTGTGTACCGGTACATTTCAACTGTCGCAATAATATACCTACTCCTGCCTCACTGAACTATATCCTCACAAGTCCTGCTCTTGCAAGGCGAATGAATGAATCGGTTTTTTGGATAGTAGTAAAGAAGGACGAGCAACAATACCAACAAGGATGATCGGAACTAGTATACTGCTAAAATGCCTGAACTTCAGGGAAAATACCGGAGTGCTGCTACCAATACTACTACGGTGACATTCTCAATGAAATGGGGTCGTTCGGAAGTCGCCTTTTTCAAAACCCTGAGCCGATCGTGGGTCAAAGTGGGTACCCCCCTGCAAGGTCAGCCAACTACAGTACCTATGGCCACCGAGTCTGTTGGAAATATTTTTATGACATACCCGGCTACCATTTTTATGGAGATCAAACAAGGCACCATTTATATGCTCCCCTCGGCGATTGTCTTCTTTGTCATGACCAGAATATATACTACAAACTTCCTCGTGCAGCCACTTGGACCTACGCACCAGCAATCGCACCAAAGACATCAAAGAAATCAAAGGACAAGCATAGACCAGTCAATGTATCAAAAGAAGTGGGTGGTAGCTTTCTTCCCTCGAACATGCAGCGTAAAGACTACCGAGCTATAGTAGTATAAAGATAATAAAGGCTCCTCCTCCTGGCTGTTAGCCCATTGACTTGCAAATTCGAAGTTGACAGTCCTTTGAAGTTTGGAGAAGTCGGGCACTACATTCGGTGGAGCTTTTATCAAGACGTCTGATGTTCTGATTCGAGAAACCTAGAGGGGTAGTCTTGCCCTTCTTCTGACGGACGATTCATTCATGGTCCAGTGCTGCTGCTGTAGACTTTTGAGCTGGCAAATGATCGTATGGGTGGTATCACATTCCAAAGAGGAGACATGTGTCGCTATATCGAGTTCGGAGAATTCCTTATCATGTTTCTCGCAAGTTTGGAAACAGTTTGTGAAATGCTGGGATCCTCGGTTGTCGAGTTCCATGTGGTACCAACCTTTAAACAAAAAGATTTGATTTTTCTGATCTGACCTCCGGATAATACATACTGCAGCATTGAACACTAATAAAGTTCCCACCAAATCTCACCAAATATGGAGCCAGCCTAGCCTATTTCAAACAAGATCGGAAAGCCTGCCAATCAGAAAATGCTTGGCGTGTCTTCTCCAGCTTGTGACAAGTCAAACATCGTGAAAACGCAAGTCCAGCGATTTTTAGAGGGAAACGTGCTGCAGTTACCCTGTATATGAAAAACATGCATGAGGATATTCGCAGTCGCTAATTCAATGATAGCAGTAGGAAAAAGGAGAGGGGAAAGATAATAGTAATCAATGGTCTAGACTAGAGCTTATTCAGTTTCCTTCATCTATTCGTCAAGTAAATTTGTCTTGATAAATTTGTGTTTTGAATTCACAGTCGTAACTAAATGTCTTGATGTCACCGTCGTAACCCAATAACACGGATGAAGCGGAAGAGAGTTCTCTGCTATCCTTGTTGAATCCAAAGGTTCTGTTTCGAGAAGTGTTCGCAGAGGGCGACCCGATCCATCGTTTCGTTGGGCTGGATGATTGGATCTCATCGGAAGGGACACCATCCATGGTATTTCCCGTGGTCTTGCGAAGTGCAGTCTCCGGAGAATCCTAGATCATCACCACCACTACATCCATCGGATTAGAATAACGCATCATCTATTCATTCTCATAGTGTGCATCATGCCATCATGACGCTCATTGGCAGATCGGAAAAACAATGATGGATCACAACAAATGACCAAATGACGAGAACAATTTTAAATTGAACTTTATCAAATACCGCTCGTGACTATTCAGGTCTATATAATATATAGAAAGTAAGCCTGAATCCAAGCTGTTTTGATGAGTACAATATTATTGTTCAATGCTGCGATATATATATAATCCGCAGCTTCGGAGAAAGTTTGGTGAAGTGTGTCGCTTTTAGACTGGAAGTCATTCTTCCTATACAGTAGGTAGTACCTGGTACCTGCGGCGAAAACGTATGTTGTTTTCTTTCAAATGCTGGGAATCAATCTTCGCTTTGTTCTGCGATGACCCGTTCATATATATTTATGTTCGAAGAATAAGTTTACACACGATTCCTCCACTCACAGAATTCGATAAAACCTTCACTTTTTTTTTATTTTACGCACAAGTATATAGAAGATATAAGGGGTTGTCAATTAACCCAACCCAGCTATTTTACATCCAACATGGTCTCTAATACTTCAAATATCTCAAACACAGACGACTACTCACTTGTTCAGTTGTTGGCTTTCGGCGGGGGGATAATCCCTGCAACAAGCTCGCCCTTTTCAAGAACACAGGAACCACGTCTCCAGCCCTCAGCCCCTCTCAACAACCAAGACTTGATGCGTATCCTTGATGAGGCTATTCAAATTATCCAAGAGGAGGACTTGTCCTTCACTCCTACCAACGTTGATGTCGCAGTCTCGTCATGGAGCTCCATATCTCAGTAAAATACATCGTTGCTGCGTCCCAAGCATCCATGCATGTGATATATTTCGATTTTCATTTGACAAAACAAGTGCAACGGAGGCAGCGCGATGTGAACAAGCGATGGAGCGTATAGTAATACTATAATTTTTTTCTCCATATCAGCTACACAGGACTCTATACTCACCAGCCTGAAAGTGTAAGACCCTGCAAGCATGATCCGTGAGAAGGAAAAACTTCCGCTCTGATGCTCCAGTGAGCACAATGAACTCTTACTGACATGATCGAAGCGCTGTACGAAGCTCTTCCAAAGCTTCGCCGGATGCGAGTCCCAATAGTACAGGGGTGCCGGTTGTTGAGTCTCCACGTTACCAACCTTTTACACTTAGCTAACAAAAGGAGGTGATTGTGCTCTGATCGGAGGCCAAGCGGAAGTTTTCCCCCTCTCATATCAAATTCCTTCTCATATCAACCATGCATGCAGTGTCTAGACTTGGCGAATAGAGGACCCCCACTGCTGATAGGACATGCGAAGGAGCCATGTTGTGGTAGCGCTATCGAGCACGGATAATTCCTTACCATGTTCCAAATTGCGTCTTTAATTGGAAGTGATATTGGCTCTACCGACAAGTACACTGATGCCGGTTGCTGAGCCCTGACCCTGCCTATGTTTTCAAGAACATCTGCAAGGGTTGGTTATTCATTCCATTGGACCCACATTTGAGAAAATTTGGAAACAGTTTGTGAAGTGTGTCCTTAATTGGACGTGAGTGACTTCACCTACAAGTACACCGATGTCGGTTTTCGAGCTCCGCCATGTGACCAGGAAACGTGAGATGTGTTCTTCGAAATCCTTCCAATTAACCGATGATATAGTTGAATCCGCTCGGATGACCCAACTGCGATGATGCGTTTACACGCGTTTTTTTTTGTTCACAAAATTCGGATTCATTCTTCCCATAATTTCGATCACAAAAAGTCGAAGTGCAAACAAAAACAAAAACAAAATAAACAAAACAATATGGTCTCTAATACTGCAAACAACTCAAGCTGTGGGCCTATGGTAAATTCGAACACATGCGATGATTCGCTTGTTCAGTTGTTGGTATTCGGCTGCACGACCATTGCAACAAACTTTTCCTCTCCAAGAACACGCGAACCATCATTTGCCCAGCCCTCAGACGCTTTCAGCAACCAGGATTTGAATAGCGTCCTTGAAGAGGCTATTAAAATGACCGAAGACGATGACTTACTCTTTGCTGCTACCAATGATGTCGATTGTCTCTTCGCGGTGCATTCTCGTGGAGCTCCAGCTCAGTAAAATACACCCTTGACGAGTCGCAAGCATCCTTACATAGAACATATATCGATTTAAATTTTACACACGAAAGGCAACGGAGTCAAGCGGCATACCGGACAACGAAAGGATATCAAAAGATGCCCAGAGCACCACTATAATACTACATTTTCATTTCAGCCAAAGTAAACTATATAGCTAGCTTTCTCTCTGCTACTAGCAATGCATCATCTATTATGGCTTGAATCGAGATACCATGGAACCATGAGAAGAATACATTTGGATGCACATTTCACGGCTCACTTGAAAAAACACGAGTGAGGTGGACGAGGAATAGTCTAATTACACTTCATTGAAGTAGCAACATCAGATGGCGAAAGAATGATTCGATTCGTCGGCACTTCTTCGGAGGTCGATGGGACTGTGTCAGTTCTTGGGACCAGACGGACCATTCGTTCATTCTTGAGTTGTCCAACATATTTTACCGCTCAGAGAAACTTTGATGGAGAAGAATCCTTTCCCTCATACTGTAGTAATATTATGTGTTCAACAATTGTCGCTCGTTGACCTGACACAGTTTTTTAAATCCCCGGAGAGAACAGGGCGAAAACACAAATTCGTTCTTTCGTTATTTAAAATACCTTGACCGTTTCATTTTTTAAAAAAACTTTCAGTCTGTTCCTTGAAATACAAATGCAGAAGATGGTACGAAAAGCTGCTAACTCTAAATCTTTTGGTACTGGCTGCAGCTCCTAGTTGCACTAATCCAACAATGCGAGAAATTGCGAAAACGGCTTGCCGTCAGCCATCAAAATCAAAGAACAGAAGCCCAGCATACGGGAACTGTGCCCGCGGTTGAGGCCAATAAGGAGTCTTTCTACAAAAACAACATTTCTCCGCAGTGCCTTTTGCGTTCACACAAATTGGAAATATTCTAAAACCATTGCAAACTCAAAGAAAACAAAACTCTCATCCAGCAGTCATGGCCTCTATTGTCACTTCAAACAACTCCTCAAACTGTGGTCAAAGAGTGATGGTGAATTCGAACAGCTCACTCTCCAATCATGCCTTGCTTGCTCAGTTGGGGTTCGACGGGAAGTCAGCAACAAGCTTGTCATTTCCCTCACCGTCAAACCTTTCCAGGCATCATGATTTGATCCGCATCCTGGATGAAGCTATACAAATTGTCAGACAAGAAGATGATTTCTTCTTTTCTAGCAAAAAAGTCGACGATGTCTTCATGGCGATGCAGTCTCCTGGTCAATAAGATGGGAAGCAAAGTATATTCTTTATCAATGAATCAAGAGCATTATTGTACATAGAACAACCTACACGTTTTAAATCATTATGGTGCAATAACAAGCCAGCCGCAGGCAATGAACGGGTATCCGCTCAGCAAGGGAGAATGCCCCTGAGAGTGCTTCATGTTTATAAGCAGCTATAATATTATAAAAGCAGTAACAGTACACATAATGCATGCCATTTGACTATACTATTCTTCCGGTAATAATGCAAATATTCTGGAGTAGAATTATAGTGGCGATGATAGAGAAAGATCGCAGCCATGCACCACTAACGTGTTTTGTTGTTGATGCTTCAGTATTTATTTTTAGGTATTTTCTTCAGCCCTGCTTCAGGAAACGCTGCGATCGAATATCATGCAGATTGTTACTTTCGACTGTAGGTACACGTACTATAACCTCTTAGGTACGTGGTGTACAGTATTAAAATACGTACCTCTTACTTTATAAATGTTTCACCGGAAAATCGGAATGAGAAGCTGTAGTAAATCACGACTCACTCGATTTGAAAACTGCAGCAGCCTACACTCTTGACTGTACGTCGGACGAAGGACTGGCTTTGTGATGACCTTCCTCATTTTCAAATTTGCCGTAATACTACCGATATACTCGCACTCGTACTCGTACTACCTTCGATCTCATCTGTCATTTTCACACTTTGAACTTGTTGCTGTACCGGTACCGCAGTACCAGTACCCATATTACCAAGATATTTATTCTCATCATTGCAATTGTAACAATCGTACCGCAGGTATATACTGTATGTTCAAACAACTACCTATACGCAATGACGATGCAATAGAAGACTGTCTATATCATACACATTATCTCAGCGCTGATCACGTGAAAATACTATCATGAATCGTAATCAGCCTGCCATGAATCAGAATCAGAATCAGCATCAGCATCAGCCTGCCATGATGAATCAGAATCAGCATCAGCCTGCCATGATGAATCAGAATCAGCATCAGCATCAAAATCAGCTGCCCCCTGAGGATTCCACTTACAATGAAGGTCTTGGTGTTCAACTTCACGTGAATTACCATCGTCGAACGAGGGCTCCCACTCGATTGGTGTTTGCGAGACTACTAAAGGCTGGGTTGGCTATCTCCTTTCTTTATGCTGCTCTTTCTCAAGCTTACATATTAAAGAAATGGGCTGGTCAAAACCCCAAAGCTATCACAGATGATGACACACCACCTGACTTCTTTTGGAAAGGAGGAGAAGAAGAAGAAGAAGAGGACCCTGGAGGCGATGACAATTGGTCACGCAAAAAACAAAACCAAGACCATCAGCAAAAGCAAAAGCAAATAAAGTTCGTCTTTGAAGGGATCACGGTTGATGGATTATCGCCGCCGACAGTACCTCCAGCACCAACACAGTTGTTTCCACCAACGTCGTCCATGGGACCCGTAGAGGATGGCCGAGATAAGTCTGAAGAGGAATCCAAAGCGGAATCATTGGTGACTCTTCATCCTGCCGCACCCAAACGGCCAAGGGAAATAGCACAACAACAGCAACAGCAAAACACAAATAAATCGAACGCCACTCTACATTTGATTCCACGAGACCAAGTCGAATTCTTGGACAAGTTTTCGGATTCCTGGCTCATTCCCAAAAAGAATTTGTTGGGAATCAACGTGCCGACCATTGATTATGTGGAACAGGCATGTTTTCAAATCATGATCCGTAACGATGCTCGGATGACGCTCGATTGGACCGACTTCATGGTAGAACACTTGAGCAAATGGTGGAGCGAACTCAAAGTGACAGTGGATATGGACAAACACATGTTTGATCATACGATACATCTCTTGCAACAGTACATTGACAAACAAGCTCGAGAAATTGTCACGACTGCTGCTCGTACCCGAAATGGTGCGAGAATACCGAATGCTGATACCAATACTAGGACTACTCGCACTGAGGAAGAAGAATTACCCAAGAGTCCGTTGCACCCGACAGTTGCAATGATAGCCTATCAAACCTACACAAGTGTCTTTCAGGAACGAGAAAGGTTGCTCTCGCCTCATTCGCTCGCGGCCTCACTCATGCCGCTCATACACGTTGGGTTTGGCAGAATTCTCATTGTGGGATACAAATCAGATGATTGGAAACATGCCTGGGGTGCACTCGAATTGGTGGCTTCCAAGATTCCAGGAGCTATTTTGGAGAATATTAATGCCATCAACACAACAACCAATACTACTACTACTACCAATACGACGGCAAATACTGCTGCCCCGAATACTTCTACCACGTCATTCTCCATGAAGGTGGGCCATACAGAAATTGCCTACGTCCAAATCCCGAGCCAATCGTGGGTCAAAACGAATGCCTACGAGATCAACGTGCCGAAAGGAGCACTCTTTGGCGTACAGGCGGCAATCAAAGGCAACTTGACCAAACAATTTCACAATGCATCGGCGGAGGATTGGTTGGGGACTACTTATGATCGATCCTATTGGAAGTATTTTTACTTGACCGAACCGGATACCATTTTGCACACCAAAAAACACTTATTGTCATTGATTAGGGATGGCTTGGATCGAGGGATAATGTACATGCCACATCGATTGCAACCTATACCACACGAATACAACCTTCCGCCCGCCAAAAAAGGCGCGAATCAACAACAGGATGTCACAAAAGGCAACAAATATCTATCAAAACGGTACAAGGGACGATATCTTCCGGGAGACATTCATCCCTTTTCGAACATTACGTTTTTGGATCGAGATGACCACTGCTGTGATGCTGGCAAAGGCTGGCCTGGAAGAAGCGCAGAATTTGGGGAAAAGCAAATTCCCTGTGGCACTTGGTGGTGGGGATGTGGGTTCGACAGGGTTGTGGACGTTCGGCAATTGAATGCCACTTTGATACGAGAAAAACACAAGCGACTGCTTTCCTACTCCATCATGTCTCTCAACAGCGGCACTGGTGTCATATTTGGTCCAGCGGAACAAGGCAGAAGATGCTTTCCTTCCAAGGAGCCATGCAGTTTTAGTTCTTCGGAGTAATGTACGAGAATTAGCTATCAAAAGAATGAATCAATCATTCTTCTTGGAAAAGTACGGTAGTTTATGTTTTCTGTCAGTGGATAGATTGTTGAACTAGTGAAGCAATACGAATACCTACTGATACATATGCGTTCCAAGGAATCATGTCTTTGGAGAACACAGACTCCTCGATGATGGTGGAATTCCTTCCATGGAACGAGACTTTGGAATTGTATCTGCAGGACAGCTGCTGAACCGCTATTGAATGAGGCTTTGGAATTGCCCATTCCTGGTACTGGTACCTGCGGTACCTGCATTGTGTGCGTGCTGAGTTCCTTCCATGGACTCGCAAAACGTGGAATTGAGCCTTCTGATTGCATGGTTACCTGCGGGGCAGCTGTTTTATGCATACTGAGTTCCTTCCATGGAATCGCCATTGAACGAAACTGCCCCTTCCTGGTACTTGCGAGTTGAAGTGATGAGTCTCAAATTGGATTTGCGGAAGTGCATTGAAGACGTGATGTCGCCATGTCTTCGCAAACATCTGCATGAGCAAAAATTCTGTGTTCTCTATTTCGTTTTCATCGAAATCCATTAAATGCGATAAATGCGAATGCGTTTCGTGACACACTCCCTTCGGGCTCTCCGAGTAATAAATCTTTTGTTCTACTAATAAAATTTTCACTGTACAACAATATATATATCAAACTGTATCAACATCTATTGCGAAGACAAAAGAAGGGACAAAGTTGCCGACCAGCTGCTAATTCGCATTTGAAGTTTCGATCGCACTCCGCGTTTGCGGTGATAAGACTGCAAACTAAAATTATACGTACCGGTACACATAAAAATAAAACTCAAGCAAAAGAAAGCACCCATCCAACATGATCTCTACCAATTCAAACAACTCAAGCTGCGCCCCTACAGTGAACTCGAGCACATTCGATGGCTCGCTTGTTCAGTTGGTATACGACGCCACGGCAACAAGTTTATCCTCTTCGAGCACAGGACAACAGCCATTGGCCGAGCTCTCAAACGCTTTCAGTCATCGAGACTTGAGCAGCATCCTCGGAGATGCCATAAAAATCGTCCAAGAAGATGGTTTATTCTTTCCTACCAATGATGTCGACGATCTCTTCATTGTGCAGTCTCAAGGAGGAGCTCCAACAAGGCAGTAAAGTGTATCCTTCTTGACGATTCACAAGCAACACATATGATAGAGCATATTACGATTTACATCAAAATCCAAGCGCAACAGCCAACGAAGCGGCAAAAGCAGTTGAACGCGCCGCCGAGACGTGGACAACGAAGGCACCGGGCATGGCCTATTGTACTTCATTTTTACAAACAGCTACAAAAACTGCTATAGCTAACAACTTGGTACTAGCAGTACTTTATACATGACGACATTTGACTACTACGTTAATGCAATGCTGATAATACTATAGTCAAAATAGCCATTTGATGGATCTAGAGTCAAAATGATGGAAAGTTGAATGCACTCCTCGCATCCTTGCTACTGTACTACTTTTTCTTTTCGCAATAAAATAATCACATCCAGGAAGAACGGCCGGGAAATAGAAATTTAGCACACAATTCTTGAAGGTCTTTTAGGAGTCACCCGAACCGTCTGGCCTTCTTCCGCCACGCGGACAATTAACGGAAAATGACTCCTAAACTACCTAGATTTTCCCGGCCGTCCAAGGGAGGATCACCATGCCAGCTGGCGGGCTTTCTGCGGGATCAATAAAATAGATCTCCTGATCTGACTCCCTAATTGCAAAAATAAAAAACAGATTGAGCTGGTGTTGGTGTGCTCCAAATTCGGAACTTTGCTCTTACATTTTTTCGGAATGGCGATTGGCGACCCACAAAGCGTACGATGTTGACGCATTCCACAGGAGCTCTTTTCTCCTTCTCATGTTCTTCGTCCTTTAGCATCCCTACCAGTACCAGGTACTGCAATGTAGTGTGTACTGTACCGATTTCGCCGTCTGCTTTCCGGTAGTCGTATAGCAATACTTGTACAGTAGGTAGTTCAGTATCAGAGAAATATGCAGTAATACGACCGCGGTTCACAGTTCACCAAATGATTTATCATTATTTGGCAAGACACTTTCCTATCTAGCTCGTAGCTACTCGCGCTGACAATGCCACTATCATTAGAAGCCCGCCTGTATTGTATAGTACACGTTGTATGATCTTCTACTCTCATAGAAGGACGAAGTGATATCCATCGAATATGATGTGATTTAGCCAGAGGATACAGACGCCACAAATCATCCACGTTATATGCTATGTGGATCCTGCTCTGGTTCTCCTGCATAATTGGGGAACATCACTTGGAGGCAGAACATTCTGCAATATCACCCATAGTGGCATTGGATAGCTCCGTCCTCGTTGCTTCAGCTAGATGAGGATGCTGTGTTGACTTAGGATCTCTTTGGCTCTCGAACACTGAAGTAATGCCAGTGTCTGAAGGGCTACCTGTGTTGGCATCGCTGACTGCTCCTCCTGGATTTGCTGGGGTGCTATTTTCATTTGTGGGATCATCCAATTGACGTTAGCAACCGATCTTTGTTCAAAAGCACTCGAACATATTCCTCATACTTGTGGTGTCACAGTTACTCTCAACTGAGTAATTCTTACGACTCCCTCGTATTGAACTATTTTGATGCTCAGGATTAAAAAACCATTCATGATTTCGGTCTATCGAATACTGGCTGTATTCGAACAGTGGTGGTGACCAACTTCCCAGTGTTTTCGAGTATTTGTGGACTAAGGCGCTAATTTACATGGGCGTGTGTCGTACTGGTCACTGTCACGCTATACAACGGGAGGTCACCTCAAATTCTTACTCCTCAATCCGGCGAAGAGTAACCGGAAACCAATGATCATCAGCAGATATGAAACATCAAATGAGCTATGGTATATTTAGATTGACATAAGAGTTCGTTTGACAAAGACAGACAAAATGGTCTTGAATTTCCTCAATTGAGGGTTGGTTTCCATGTCCCATCACCTTGCGGGTCGAGCAGTCTAAGTTCAAAGGCTGACCTAAAGGGTTTCTGGCTTCCATGCACGATTTGCAACCCGTCAGCCACTTAGGCATTATTGAGTCGTCCTAGGCAAAAGCTTCAGATGCTCCGTTTGAATCTGGCAACATTGACGGTGCTGTCCGTTGCCGTGGCTCATCATCGACCCAGGAGTAGTACCCTAAGCAGTGTGCGTTGATTGCTACCGCCAGCCCTTGTAGTAGTAAAGAATCATTCCAGAGATTGATCGAATAATGTTGTTCCAGGTCGTTGAAGTATCGAGAACTCGTTCCCCGGAGGCGTTCCTCGATGGAACTGTTGAATATGAACCGTTACAAGTATTTGTGAGCACGTTGCTCAATTGAACCGTTCAGCGAAACTTTTTTCTTAATGTCGGAGAACAAAAAATTCTTTGCGTAATCTGTATGTTCTTGCGGTCGCGCCTGTTGGTTCAGTGCTGCGAGAAAAAAGTGGGTGTTCATTCGGCTTTGTTGATAAAGAATGAATTGAATCTTCTTGTAAAAGTCGCACCAATACCGAAGTGTGTGTTCCAGTACTTTTAATGGTATCTTATCGTGGCAACATGAAAATCTCGAAACGCTTCTCTCTGTTCTCTGTTCTTTGGTTGCACTGATTTCCATTGAGTGTTAAGTCTTTTGCTCAAAAGTGCGAAAAGAGTGGATATAATTTTACTGAGAAATTGCAATTGCGACCGTTACAATAAAAACAAGTGTCCGCGAGTTCGTTCACACAAAATGCAAATAGTAATCCAGTACACACACTCAAACAAAACAGACAAGAACCCGTACAAGATGGTCTCAAATACTTCAAGCAACACAATCTGTGACCCTACATTGACTATGAACACAGGCGATGACTCGCTGCTTCATTTGATGCAAGGTCGGAACACCGCAAGAACAGGCTCCTCGTCCTTTTCGAGCACACAGGAATCGTCGCCCAGATCAAACCATTTCAGAGCCCAAGACACGATTCGCATCCTTGATGAGGCTATCAAAATTGTCACAGAAGATGATTTGTTCTTTCCTTCTAATGATATCTTCATGTCGACACATTTTCCCGATCAAGATGGGAGTAGCAATCGACCTCCAAGACAGTAAATTGCGACTCAAAGCATCCATACACAACTTACGGAAAACAATAGCTAACGTCGAACAATTAGCATTTAAATCATACATGACACTTATGTGCCACAGCAACACAAGCGTAGCTGATCGTCCAGATATAGCTGTACCCATACTACCATCCGATATCTCTCTGTGCTGATAGTAGCATTTTCAGTTCAGAATCTACTTCAATTCTTCTTGGTTATTTTATGACATGATGTCTAGTGGTATCCGTTCCCAAAAAGACAGTGCGCTGTACCCAACATGAATTCTTAGAGGAATATTCGATTTTTGGCATGTTTTCTGAACGCTTTAACAATAACGCCACGGCCATAGCGCTGTCGGATACATGTCACTCGTTTCAGATACATACACAGAAGAGCGAGAGTGGTTGCCAACATCAACTCAACGGACCAAGACCAGTCATTCGTAGTGCGCAATCCCTTTTTCCGTCATGTTTGAATACTCATGGGCTGGCTCTGTTGTTAGCTTCGTCGAGCTTTGAAGAGTCCCAGAAATCACATTCACCCTGTTCATCATAGAATAATTGCTTGCCGAGCTCGACAATACCTTCGAATATATGAGTTAATATCACACGTGGTATGATGTTATTCAGAGGATACATAGTAGAGGGCTCGGATCATCCACCACAAAGTCCTAAGGTCGTCACGGCCACTTTTCGATGCAGTTTTTCAAGCTGACGGGTCATTTTGTGTCTATTTGTAACATTCCACATATAATGTACACGTACCTCAGGGGTCGGTACCCTGGTGCGTGAGACAGGCGTTTCCCTTTCTTGTTTGTGGTCTCGTGGAGAGAATACAGTATATCACGACTGTGTTGAAGCGACTCCCTAAGAATCTTGGATGGTGACATCGAGGAACAACATACTATAGTACGCTAAAACTGCAAGCAATCTTGAGCTTGATGGGAAGGTGAGAAACTATAAATTTTGGTCGTTTTATAACGATGATTGTCTTCTCAATTGCAAGATTTGATCTTTTTCTTCTTTTAATCTACTGGTAGGACTAATCATCGTTGCATGCGTTGATTTTGACATATTATATATTATTAATATTGAATATGCCATCATGGAGGATACCGATAGTTTGGACTATCTTGGTTTGGTATGAAGTGCAGGCCCACTTGTTGTTTCGATTTGAGAGATGCGCGCATTTGGATAATGGAACACTTTCGGGCGTGCTCCAATGACTGTCGATATCATGACGCAATTTGTTGGCATGGCGAAGAACATGCGTCATCGCAGAAATGACATACACACCGATAGGAAGAACGTGCGTCATAACGGTTGAGGGAATGAATCTCATTTGAAAAGTGAGAACTGCTAACGGCAGACCATAAACGAGAAATTTCACGTTTTGGCGGGAAGATTTCAAACCGCAAAGATCCACAAATCATAAAACTGGAATATCGTCTCTATAGTCCGCATGATCTGGCGGGAAGCATTCAAACCACAGTGCCGCAAAGTTTGAAGGAAGACGGAAGACATGAGGAGAGCAGCTACAGATGCCACAGATGTCTGGCTTGTTGCACTCTAAACCAACGACGACGCAGAAAATTCCCAACCAGATACGAGCAACACGAGGAGACAGGATGCAAGACCATACACCCAACAAAGACAGCTTCATGGTATCTCCGCCCCGAAGTGTGCAACAAAGAGAGGAAGATTCCAATGACCCTGAAATGTCATTGGTAGCAGCATTGCAAACGTCCTTCCAGCAGGAGCGCTCAAGTTCTTTCTTCGATGGCAATCAAACTGCCGCGATACCATTTTCTATCAGTGACGGGTCGCCTCAACGGAGCACTTTTGATGTCCTAGGGGAAGCTCTCGACTTCTTGGCAGATGATTCTTTTTTCCAACGGGATGGAAGTCCAGAGATCACCGCGGAGAGGATAGTGGATAAGAAGAAACATACTGGACCTCCAAGACAGTAATGACAGCCATTACAAAAGCGAACATAGAGAAGAAAATGTCCACCACATCATTGAACATAGCGGACACTTCACAATTTTTAAATATATTTTAGCAAACATTACACTGGTAATTGATAGTAGCGCTATCATTGTTTTTACTACAAACAGTGTCGCAGACTTCGTACCAAAACAATTGAAAAGAAATGAGCACTTCAGATTTGAAAGTACTAGGCGATAAGCAGATTGAGAACATGAGTAAACATTTCATCAGTAGTTGACAAATTCGGATTCATTCATTTCATTGGTTGT